CCGGCTAGCTAGAAACTATATGTTATTTTTACTGATTTCTCCCGTATCTTTCCTTGGAGTTTTCATCGCTCTTTTCAATGCCACTTTTGGCTATTTTTCTTGCGTTTTTCTGCGTGGACTATTATTTTGCGCAGCACTCATTTTGGAAATCCTGCACATTTTTACTTCTTCCATTAGTAAGTTTAGTCCATGTTTGTCACGTTTATTTAGGCAAAGCAAAAGGTTAAAACGGTGCATTCGTATATGAGATTCACTCTTGTCTTCTATACGTATGTTCCATAATTTTTGTCTTCGCCCATCATAATATTTCCCTTATCATTGAACCTAGATTTTCAGCTTGGACTCTTTTCATATCGTATAACCTCCTATATCATTAATTTAAATCCCCTAGGTATGAATATTTGGTGGGATTTTTTTTTATTATTACTGATTGCCTATTTAATATCTTCCTTCTCTATCCTTTCTTTGTTTGTGAATTTTATAACCATTGGTATTTGTGTTGTTTCCATATTAAATTCTAATATTTTGATTCAGCCTAATCTGGAGCCATGACTGAGCGATTTCTTGGTTACTGGTTTATAATCTCTCAATTCTTGGAATATCGGCATATATATAATCATTTTCATCTTCTAAAACTTACCAACCACGCCAGCACCGCTGTGGAGACGGGCCGCCGGGCCTCGAATTTGTGCGCCACGTCTCCACTGGAACAGCGCTATCATACTTGAACATCATCCGGCGGTCGCGTGCCGCCATATCCCGACGAAACTGCGCGTCTCATCGCGCGCCACGCGCTTATGATAGGATGATGATAGCGCTTATTGATCCGCAGCGCTTAGGATCAAACAGCAAAGGCGTGTTGCCATGCCAATCTCTTGTATCAGTGTCTCTCTGGATCGGGTTGCCATCTAGTGAGCTGGTATGGCAAAACTCACTCTAGTCAGGCTATAGTGTGCATGCTACACACAATAAAAGGACCGGCCTGCCTGGTGTGTTGTAGTTTTATTCCTTTAAATGTGTTTGGCTAACGCTGTCACACACACACGCTGCTCGCCATTAATATGTATACAATAAGTGTATACAATTAATGTATACACTAATACCATATAAATACAGTAAGGTAACTAGAACAATAATATAAGAACCTCACTTACTGTTGCAAGTAGCTATGCCTAACTCATTATTTTATCATAAGCAGTCATAATCTAAGCGGTAACATTGTCTAAGCAGCTTATTTTGTCATAAGCTAGGTTAGTCTAGCCTCCAAGAAACGGTGCTTTGCTAGCGTTAGGGACCAGTAATTTGCACGGTGTGTAATATTGACGTTGTCACATAGCCTGGTCGGGTTAAGTTAGTCATAAGCCATAATATATAGTAATTACTTGGGTTCAATTAAGCGCCTCTCGGTATATAGTAGTAAGTACTTAGTATACAGTATTAGTATTAGTATTATGATTAGTATAGTATTAGTATTAGTATTAGTATCAGTATTAGTATTAGTATTAGTATTCGTATTAGCTATTTAGTATGTGAGGTATTGTATTAGCCCAGGACTGCGTATTAGTATTTGTATTAGTATTAGTCATTTAGTATTAGCTATTAGCTATAGTATTAGTATTAGTATTAGTATTAGTATAGTATTGAGTATTATAGTATATTAGTTAGATTAGTATAGTATTAGGATTGTGTAATTAGTATTAGTATTATATTGTTTAGTATTAGTATTAGTATTAGTATTAGTATTACCATTAGCATCAGTTATTACCTTAGCATTTAGCATTGATCATAGTCTTTCGATAGTATTAGCGTAGTTAGTATTGTAATCTAATTTACTATTGTATAACTGTAGTTAGTATTTATTTTTAAATTAAATAGTACGTGAAGTCGCCCCTATGAGGCAGCATCGGCCAAGTCGCCGCAGCTGCAGGCTGCCCAGCGTTCGCCTGCAGATGACTCAGACATGAGTCTAGTCGTGAAGCTGTCTAAATTGTTGGTCCTCCGTCGTTTGCTGTTGACGCTCGCGATATTGTTTCGATATTGCTTCATCATGAGTAGATGCGAAGGACAGTATACCAGGCCTCCTGCGAGCAGTCATGAAGCGTTACGATTCAAAACTGGCGCAGCGCAAGAAGACATTGATCACGACAGTAGATGACGACCACGTAACAATGGAGTCGGAGGCGCATTGGCCCGACAGTTGTAGCAATGATTCAACGTGCGGTACAGCCCTGGAGCGTCCGCGCGAAATGCACGCTCAGCCACTGAAAGGAGGCTTATCATCGTTACCTTCGACGATAAATACCGTAAAGAATTGTGGCGGGCGCTTAACTGAGAGGTTATTTCATGTTGGTAAGTGTATTACTCTACATTGGTCTTTAATTTTAATTTTAATGTTATGTCACATTCGTTATACACTTCAAGGATTCTGTCACTTGCTGTTTTGCTACCTATCACGGAGTCGGTCGCATGTGTCTTTATACCCTGTGAACGTAAACGTGTAACGTTTTACTCGTTATTATTGAGCAGGTAACCACACCACAGTGACAATATATACGTAGCTTGTACTTGCATGTATACCTGGTTCCCAACGGTTTTTTATACTATAGCGCACAATTCACCGGTACTTTACTGACGTGACGGCAGTCACGGTACCCTCATAGTTACCCTTATAATTTAGCTACCTAACATCAGTCAATATCAGGAGTAGATAATAGGATCTATTATCCCTATTAGATTCCCTAGGGATCTATTATCCCTATTATCTACTCCTGGTCAATATTGATTTCATGATGAATTTTTACCACACTACAGTATCGTAACATCAGGAGTAAGATAATATAGGATAATATATAGGATATATATATCCTATATATATATATAATATATATTATCCTATATTTATATATATATAATTATATATCCTATATAATTATATAATATATATATATATGTCCTATATTATCCTATATATATAATCCTATAGGATATATAAGAATCCTATATTATCTTACTCCTGGTAACATGGCAAGAGCGTCTCGGATGGACTGATGTTAATTATGATGCCATAATTGATCAATAAAACCTACAATGCCACAATACCGTACGTGAACAATACGCATCAAGAGTTCACGCGAGCAGTCAGGCTACACCCAGTGGCGTAGCTAGGATTTTCAGGCGGTGGCACTGGCGGGGGGCCTTACTTTTCGTTGGGGTGGGGGCACAATATATAACTTTTCTTTGTAATTATACTGTTCTAACGGCATTGTTTTTAATTCAATTTTTTTTTTATCAAGCATGAATTTTCAGTGGGGGGGGGCACCTGGGGGGGCACAGAAAATTGGGACTCATGCCCCCCCTCCCCCCGTAGCTACGCCCCTGGCTACACCCCGTGACTTAGTAGTATATTAGAATTTAATATGAACAAAACAAATACAATGGTTATAAAATTCACAAACAAAGAAAGGATAGAGAAGGAGATATTAATAGGCAATCAAGTAATATAAAAAAATACACCAAATATTCATACCTAGGGGATTTAATTAATGATATAGGAGGTTATAACGATATGATAAGAGTCCGAACTGAAAAATCTAGGTTCATGATAAGGGAAATATTATCATGGGCAGAAGAGCAAAATTATGGAAATCATACTATAGAAGCAAGAGTGAAATTATACGAATGCACCGTTTTACCTTTCTTCCTAAATAACAGTGAAACATGGACTAACTTAACTAAGGAAGAAGTAAAAATGTTGGAGGATTTCCAAAATGAGTGCCTGCGCAAAATAATAGTCACGCAGAAAACGCAGAAAAATCTACCAAAAGGCATTGAAAGACGATGAAAACTCCAAGGAAAGATACGGGAGAAATCAGTAAAAATAACATATAGTTTCTATACGTAAATCGTGGTAAATACATTAAAAACGCATTATTTTATTGAAAATTTCCATATTTACTTATATAACATCCAAGAGATGGCGCTGTGGCATGTAAACGTTGGCTCCGAACATTCCAACCTCGGTCGTGCAGTGTGCTGTGTTTTATTTAATTGTTCAATGAATGACGCACTCGTTCACTTGTGACAGCGAGTGAAAATGCAAAAAATTTTCCTCTTCGATGCGAAATGCATCGGCCGGGCATTTTATTATTTAGGAAAAGTAAACAGGCTGGGGAAAAACAGTCGGTACAGGAACTGGTCACGTCGGTGACGCCCCATTCATGTTCATCAACGAAGAAGGCGGCGCTTATTCTGATTACGGAAATGCGAAAATGCAACAGAAAGACGTAGCGCAGTGCGCTAAACAGCGTGTTATTTTCGTTTTTGTGCCAAACTCTATCGTAGGAAACCGTTCTAGCCTAGCAGAATGCCCTAGTTCCTGAGAGCGGTGATTTGGTGCTGTAATGGGTCCCCACATTTAAAAATATTATAGAGAGGTGCGGCGTAGGCTGTGATTGGAAGACACAAAGTGTCAATCCTCGGCGCGCCTCGGCATCATGGCCGCATCACGTCCAGTGCAGGATGCATGTATAGCATCATAATGTATATATAATTATAGTAGATATCTACGGATGACATAAAGCGTAATAAATATCTCAACAACTGGAAGTCGTAAGGCCACAGGTCATCAGTCTCGATGTAAAACTTTGTGGTAGTGAGGCCAGTGGTAGGGGACTTTCAGTAGCTAGTTAAGAAGCTGGTCAAAGATAATCGATTTTATAACCGCATTACATAATGTAATGGCTTTTTCTGTACAGCTGTCATATCTTTTCCATTTAGCTGGCTCTGCATATATAGTCATCGACCATCGCAGACCATCATAGCCCATCGTAGACATCACAGACCATAGATCTTAGATCATAAGATCATAAATGATAGATCACATATCTTACTCCTGATGTTACGATACTGTAGTGTGGTAAAAATTCATCATGAAATCAATATTGACCAGGAGTAGATAATAGGGATAATAGATCCCTAGGGAATCTAATAGGGATAATAGATCCCTATTATCTACTCCTGATATTGACTGATGTTAGGTAGCTAAATTAATAAGGGTAACTATGAGGGTACCGTGACTGCCGTCACGTCAGTAAAGTACCGGTGAATGTGCCTTAGTATAAAAACCGTTGGGAACCAGGTATACATGCAAGTACAAGCTACGTATATATTGTCAATGTGGTGTGGTTACCTGCTACAATAATAACGAGTAAAACGTTACACGTTTACGTTCACAGGGTATAAAGACACATGCGACCGACTCCGTGATAGGTAGCAAAACAGCAAGTGACAGAATCCTTGAAGTGTATAACGAATGTGACATAAAATTAAAATTAAAATTAAAACCAATGTAGAGTAATACACTTACCACATGAATAACTCTCAGTACGCCGCCACATGTCTTTAGGTATTTATCGTCGAAGGTAACGATGATAGCCTCTTTCAGTGGCTGAGCGTTGCCATTTCGCGCGGACGGATCGGGCTGTATCACCGTGAATCTTGCTACACTGTCGGGCAATCGCCTCGACTCCATTTGTTCGTGGTCGTCATCTCTGTCGTTATCAAATGCTTCTTCGTGCGCCAGTTTTGATCGTAACGCTTCATCCTCTCCAGGAGGCCTGGTATACTGTCCTTCCGATCTACTCATGATGAGCAATATCGAAGAATATCGCGAGCGTCAACAGCAACGACGGAGGACAACAATTAGACAGCTCACCTAGACATGTCTGAGTCATCTGCACGCGAACGCTGCAGCCTGCAGCTGCAGCTGCTGCGATTGGCCGATGCTGCCATCTAGGGGCGACTTCACGTAATATTTAATTTAAAATACTAACTACAGTGTATACAATAGTAAATTAGATTACAATACTAATACGCTAATACTAATACGAATACTAATGATAATGCTAATGCTAATGGTAATACTGATGCTAATGGTAATACTAATACTAATACTAATACTAATACTAATACTAATACTAATACTAATACTAATACCAGTCCTGCTAATACTAATACTAATACTAATACTAATACTAATACTAATACTAATACTAATACTAA